CAGTACATAATGAGGACAAAGAAGAGGGAGAAAGAGAAGGAAGAGAAGTTGGTGGGGCACAGCCATGGCAGGATGGCATGGAGGATGGCAGGGATTGTGACACACTGGGCCAACAGATGGGTTGTCTGGTCCAACAATTCTTGCTTAACCACTTTGGGATTGTTCTTCCATTCTCCTGAGCATTGTTTTGGGGTAGTAATAGTATCTAGGCAACAAGGCTGCTGGAGGGAAGGCGGGCTAAAGAAACACCTTTTAAACATGCTATAATCATTTATGTTTAACATGTTGAAAAACATCCTGCCCCAAACAAACAAACAAGCAATTCCTATTTTTTTTGTTTTGTTTTGTTTTGTTTTGTGACCCACTGAGTTTAACAAGAGCCATTTATGTGACCAAGGGTTTGGGACATGAGTTCAGTGGGGTGGGGGCCACAAATGAAAAGAATGTCTGCCTTGCCTGGGATCCATCAATATCCCATAGTTCAGCAAGGAGGGTAGGGCCATGTGCCATGTGGTCCCTCCCCAGTGTAGGCTGGCTGCTGATAGACCTGGTATTATACAGTCCATTGTAGGTGAAGGGCTCTAGCAGTCCTGAGCATGGTAGACAAGGTGTCTACAGGCTTTGCCCTGCTCCCCTTTCATTTGCCTTTCTATTAGATTATGTTCCTAAAGCTGGCCCTCAAGGTTCGTTCCCTTATTTGGCCACTGACTCATTCCTGAGTCAAAACACCAAGGTCCAACAATCAAAATTAATTATTTGGCTAGCATCAAATCAGGATTTACCAACTCACTCTAGCACAAACTCCACCTATTTCTCCTTAAAACCCACTCCTGCAGAAACATATGCTACTGCTGTCTGCCTTTGTCCAATTATGAGGCACCCTCCCCATCTCTGCTGGCCCTTCTGGGGCAATAAATCTCCTTTGTGCTGAGAGAATTTGGTGTCTGTGGGGTGTCCAGTACTTTGGTAGCTCTGACTGCTGTGAGATCATGGCTACATTGTAGGGAGGATTGCAGGGATGGAGGAAGTAAGGGAGGCTAAGGGTAAATAGAAGGTGCTACATATAGGCATGAAGTTGTCAAAGAACAAGTTTAATATAAGGCATTAAAAAATAGCTTCCTCTTAGGAAAAGGCATAACTCTAGAGGTCACTGTTACAAAGCGGGGATCACCAGTGAACCTTGACATTGAACTGGCTACAGCCTTCAATGACTCCTTCATATCTCCCCGGATACATCCCCATGGGAAGGAAGAGAAAGGCTCAGAGTCCAACCAAGAGCTGGACAAATCCAGCTTCTTAGACAGGAAGTTGGGAACCAAACAGAAGAACAAAGGCCACAACCACAGAAAGGATAAATGGGCATTGCTTAAGTACCCAGAGTATTCCAGAAGCTCGAGCTCTTTGTCATCTCAAGAGTGTGACACCCGTGTTCACCCATGAGGAACCAGAGAATGTCAGAAGGCTAAAGGAATTTTCCAGGTCATGCACTGCGTCCTCAGAGCCCAGGTGTTGCTCTGAATGCCCCTCATCCCCATAATACAATGGTTTCCAAACACAACAGTCAGTTCCCACTAATGGACTAGCCCTGGAACAAACAGGCTTGGCGCATGGGTCCCTCCCACAGCACAGCATCTTCCAGGATCCACGCAGGACTACAGTGCTAGTCCTTCCGAGACACTAGCACCTCTTTACCGCTCGTGGCCTCCATAGAGCAATAACCTTCCATGCCACCGTGACTGCTCATAGTGCCAGCACTGTTCATAGCACCAATGCCCTTTGCACCAGAGCCTTCCATAGCAACAGTGCCATCCTTAGCACCAGCACTACTGAAGGTGATTAGAACCCTCCTTGGCACCAGCACACCCACAGCACCCGTCTCTTCCTCAAGATCACTATTTCCCTTAGCACCAAGACTTCCCGTAGTAGCAGGGCCTTTCAAGGTACTGCCGCTTCCACAGTACCAGAGTCTTCCATAGCAGGAGAACCTTCACCAGCACTCATATCTCCATAATACCATATTCTCCGTGACATCAGGGCCTTGAACATCACAGCGCCCTCCTTGTCATCTTCGTCTCATAGCCCAGGACCCTCTCCACCACCAGGACCTTGCTCTACAGCTCCAGTCCTTCCAGAGTGTAACTGCCTGCTGCGTCACCAGCGCCTCCCAGGGCAGCACCGCACTTCCCTGTGGAGTCCGGCCCTGTGTGCATTGAATGCCTCTATGTCACCAGCACCTTCACGATGCTAGAGCCACCCAGAACACCACGTCTGTGACGCCCATTCTCCGATGCACCATAAACTTCCACAGCACCAGCTCCTCCATAGTTCCAGTTCATCCACACACCAGACAACACCAGAACGTTCTAGAACATCCTTTTACATTCTGCAGCAAAGGCAGTTTAGCAGCATCCCCAGGTCCCAGGGTGCAGGAAGGAAGGATTTGCTCCCATTAGCCGGTGGACACTCTGCTTCCATGGGGGTGGGCAGCAACTGCTGGTCAGCGCCAAGTTCTCTAAGGCTACCTGCAATGCTGCACCCCCAACTCTGCTTCTCTAGCTGAAGTCTCCACCCATAACTCCGGGGACACCTAAGGATGCAAGGCTACCTCCTCCACCCACCATGACTCTAGGCTCAGAACATCTTCCCAGCCTCTTGCCTGCTTGGAAGGTACCCCTTGAGTCCAGCCAGAGGAGCCAAACCTCCATTCCCAGGCAAAAATGAGTCTCACGAGTCTGCTCCCACAGCAGCCTTGCTGGATCCCTGAGTCCCAGTGAGCTTACTCATGGAAGACCCTCAGACTCTTCTTAATTACCACACAGCCTCCTCACCCTCCTCCCGCACCACCCTCCAGCCAGCAGATGCAGCCTCTGCAAAGCCCAGAGGAAGCTCTCTGAAGAAAGATGAAAACCAGGCTAATTAACACTTCAAGCTTTACATAAGCAAATGAGAATTTGCTTCACCCCCTCCCCTTTGGTTCCGAAAAGCCAGGGCTTGTCCCCACCTACACTTGACAGAGCTCAGGAGAGGCTGCTAGGGAACCACAAGCCTCCTGTGACCCACCAGGTCCATCTGGGCCAAACTGTGTGAGGGGCCTTCCGCACACCGGGACCCCGGCAGAGCCACCCTTGTTCATTCCCTTACCTGACTCATTCTTGCTCTATCTGGCAGCAATGAACTGCAGGCAATATGGCAGGACAGAAAGGCCAGACAGGCCTAGCTCTGACGCTGGCTTTGACAATGGTAGTGGGACCAGCAGATTTAATCATTCCCTGAGCCACAGTTCCCTTTAGATTAATGGAGGTGGGGTTATACCAGTCTTCCCCCCTCTTTCTGTCTGTCTGTCTGTCTCTGTCTCTGTCTGTCTTGTCTCTCTGTCCCTCTTTCTCTGTGTGTGCATACCAAGGCAAACGTGTGCAGTCAGGGGACAGACAACTCTATGTAGTTCTCTCTCTCTCCTTTATGTGGGTTCTAAGAGACAAACTTAAGTCTCCATGCTTGTCACCTGCTGAGCCATCTTGCCAGCCTGAAAAAGTAAACCTTGAGAAATTTGTGAAATAGTCTATTATAGAGATATGGTTTTATTTATAAAATCAAGAGGAAGAAAGAAGGTCTAACCTTGTCTAATATTTTGATTCACATATAGCTCTTCTATAAGCATTCATATGTGTGACTCCGGGCATTTTGTTGTGAGCTCTGCTGCCAGAACAAGTCAGCTTTGCCCCAAGGCCAGATATGTCCATATCAGCACCACAATCCCTGCTTTCCCCTCAGCCCTCTGTGCCCATTCCTGCAGGCAGCCATGCACAGCAGGAGCCAGTCCCACGCTCACTAGGTACGCACGGCACAGCGGAAGCTAAGGTGACGGTAAGTGAACAGTCCCCGCCTTCGCAAGGGAGCTGGCCTCCAGGCTCACACCCGCAGTCACTCAGAGAGAGATTTAGTGTAAAGTGAGATTGTCAAAGGCAGAGAGGAGCCCACTCCAGCCCCCAGACATCCGAGGGCGGTGCTCACTTTCAGTTTTTGGCTCTGCTTTCTTCACTATCCGTTTAGTAACCTTGTTGATTTTCACTTGGACAGTTATAGTGACAGTCTCCCATTTAAAGTCTTGCTACCACACGTCATTATGTGAAAGATGATACAATTTTTCTAAAACCCAAATTCAGCCACATCTCTCCTCTACTGATAGTCCTTCAGAGCTTCCTATAGCTTTCCCCATACAACCCAAGTTTCACCCACATGGCCCACAAGACTTGAGACTGCGTCTTACCCACACCTGATTTATCTGTTTCCCCCTTACTCCTTCCTAAAGCACAGCCTCATTGCCTTTGTTCCTGTTGGTGCTAATGTTCCTACAGTCTCGGTGCCTTGGCACAAGCTATTCTCTCTTGGTCCCCAGCACCCTTATTCCTGCTGCATTCTGGGCTTCCCTTCCTGTCAGTTCCCAAGCAACTCCCCAGGTGCTAACCTTAGCTTCTCCTTTCATCTGTACACAGCATGCATTGCTGCTCTGCCCACTCCTAGTGACTCTACCCCCTCTGCATACAGCATGCATTGCTGCTGCTCTGTCCACTCCTAGTGACTCTACCTTCCCCCCCCCCCCAAAAAAAAAAACAAAACCAAAAACACCAACCCACTGCTTTGTATCTGTCAGCTTCTCTTTCCCGGTTTTCTGTGCGCTATGGTCAAAGCGTCTGACTAAAATTTGCCTTTCTTCATATGTTCCTGACACATCTCCTGAGGACTGTAAAGAAAATGCAGGAGGAAGCGGGCAAGGGAAAAAATGAGAGGCTGTAGAGAGCCTTTATCAGTTATCAAATCTGTTGAAACTCCAGAACCTGGGATGAACTCCTGTCCTGTGATGAACCTCAGTGGCAGAGCCCACGTGACTTCCAGAGTCCCTCCTGAAATAGCCTGTACTGCTTCCCTTCTCCCCACTGCCCCTGGGCCACCAGCAAAGCCCCTCCTTTCCTCCCTTCTTGTTGCCCTGCCAAGGAACTTACCGTAAATTCAGCGATCTTCGGCACCCGGAACTTCCCTTTGTTCCTCTGCTCCGGCTGGTACTCTGTTCTTGTCTTCACGATCACCTGCAACGTTGGACCAATGTTAGCACAGAGACAAGCGCTTCCCCTTCCCTTTCCTCTGGCCACCAGGACTTGCTCTCCATCTCACAGACATCGGTAATGATGAGTCCCCTTCCCAACACACGAGAAAACATACAAATGACCCCCATTCCAGCAAGCATGGTGACCATGTTGATTATACCTCTCCAGATGTTTGTGCATTATGGGTATTCCTGTCCATAGAAATGCATAGCCCACTTTGACAAAAGGGAAATCATTGATCATGGGTTTATAGGCCACTTTACCAGGTAATTCATGTTCTTTTCCGGTTTTCCGCTTTCTGATGTAAACAAGTGTGTGTGTGTGTGTGTGTGTGTGTGTGTGTGTATTAGGGGTGTAACTCAGAGTCAAACGTCTGCTCAGCAAGTGCTCTACCACTGAGTTAGGCTCTCAACCTTTCATTTTGCCCTTTCCTCTTTTCTGTATTGACTAAACGTGTTCTTTGACGATTTCCATCACTGACTGCAGCACATTCTGCCCAGTCTCCCTCCTCCCACCCTGCCATACCTCACTCTTCCCGGCAGGTCTCTTTTCCGCATTCATGTCTTTTTGTTTTGTTACCCACTTACTTTAGCCAGGACCATTTGTGTGCCCATGGGCTCGGGACTGGCCCTTGGATTCTGGAGAGTTCACTGTTTGATCCACAACTGAAGAGACTCTCCATTCCCAGAATTCACTGGTTCAATCAGTGGAACTATCCACCAATAGTTCAACAGGGAAGAGTAGGGCCTCTGAGATCCTCCTGGGTCCAGGACTGGCTGTTGGCAGACCCAGTGCAGTTGGCCACAGCTGCTATGCAATTGTGTTTGGAATGGCTTTGCCGTGCCCTGATTATGGCATCTTCTTTTGATGCAGTATGTCTCATATATGTACACTGCATCTGATATTTAATTTTTTAAAATTATGTTCATTTAGGGAGGGCATGGGCACGCAGAGATGTTTGTGTGGAGGTCAGAGGACAACCAGGGGAGTCAGGGCTCTCCTCCCACTGTGTAAGTTCTGCGGGCTGAGTTCAGGTTTTGATGGCAGGTGCCTTTTCCTGCTGAGCCACCTTATTGGCCCTACAGTTGATTCTTTTTTAATTAAAAGTTATTACCTTTTTCAATCTTACCCAGAGACACCACATGTGCCTTATACTTTATCCTTCTAAATATGATACAAGATAGGAATTTCTTTGTTTGATAAATGAGGAAACTGTAGTTAGAAGGTTACTAACTTGCCTAAGGCCCCAAGGACACTGCCCACTAACAATGCTGCCATTCACACCAGGGCTCAGCTGACTCTAAAGTTGTCTGCCGCTGATCTTCCGTTGGCAAGTGTTTAGGCCATTTCCACAGTCTGGGTTATAGAAACAAGTTATGATTAATAACCTATTGGTTAACCCTCCGCACACATTCTTAGTTGTAATATAATTTGGGGATTAGCACAAGGGAAAGGGAAGGCATTTGCTCAGCCCACTGCATCGTCTCCTTTCACTGAAATCTATTTCGGCGGCATATTTTACCGAGGTGTGCGGCCACCTCACATGGTGTTTATGGACCTCCACCCCACTCTGTGGGCTGAGAAGAAAATAAGAAAAGAAACCCGACAAATAGTTTGCAGTTATTGCCAAGTATTAAGGCGCTGTGGACAACACAGAAACTACTGACCGAGCTGTGAGATCCCACCTGAAGCTATAGACCCCGGCCATTCCACAGTTTTTTATGTGTTCCCTGTCTCATGCTAAACAGAGTACCTGGTACTGCCACGGGGGACTGTTTCCACTCCACAACACACTGAGCTTCTTGTTGCTCCTGATAGCAGCCTGAGCCAGGTATCTTCGCAGGTAGGGCTTTCCTGTCCTGCCCGGGGTGGGTAGGGTGGGGTTGGGGAATGCTGGTTCTGTTCTCTTTACACGTTCCTTTCACAGACTGCTTCACAGAGACCCTTTCAGGAGTGAACAACGTCACACAACTGTGGAGAAGGGGAAAAGACCAACGAGGGGCCTTGACAAGAGACCCTAACATGCTGGGACAGGGCCATGCAGCTAGGAACCCGAGGGCAAGCCAGAACTGACAGCCAATGAAAAAATTAGAATTTCAGTCCTGCAACCACAGGGAAGGAAATTCATTCAACAGCTCAAGTGAGCTTGGATGAGGATCTAGGGATAGATGGGAATGCAGGCCAACTACACCTGACGATGCTAAGACTGACAAGCTCACAAAAACTGGTAGATGAGAAATTTGCATTGGCTCAAGATAGCAGCGGGAAACTAGTTTGCTTTCTCACATGCCTGGGCCCACTCCTCACCTCTTAGTGAAGTCCCATCCCTTCCACAGCCATGGCCAACAGCCTCCACTTGAGCCCCTTTCCCTCAGATGCCAAATGTGAAGGAGCATTTACTCTGAGTCTTCTTGCTGCCTCTCTGTTGTGTGGACACCCTGCCCAGAACCCCCGAAAGAGCTTAAGACCTTCTTCGTCATTTGGTGTAAATGAGAAAGGACCTATATTCCTGCCGTGTTGAGCACTTAGAGGTTGCTTCTCTAGTGTCTCTTTCCTTTTCCTTATCTTTTCCTGAGTCACAAGCTCCCTGGGGTCCCTTCAGGGGCTCACTCACCCCCGCCCCACTTGTGATCTGGTGGGATCCTCTCCTTCCTTCATGACCACAGTGGTATCTAGTTAGACAAAGGTAACTGGGAAACACTGTCCGACATCAGCATGTCTCAGTTCGGATGCATTAGACACAAGGCTACACTTGAGGGAAGAAGCCCCTGGTTCCCATGGGTTCCCTGAAGTGGCGTTTCCCCTTGCACGATGTAGTAGGGACTTAAGCGCTGAGGTAGCAACTGCTGCTACTCCAAGAACAACCAGGGGGCGAACGAGGGTGGCCCATGAGCATGGCAACACCACAAGCCCATGGCATATCCCACAGATATTATGTTAAACACAAGAAATCGGATCCCAGCAGGCCTTTTAGACACCATGGATTTCATTGATGTCTTCAAGTAAGTGTGGAGCTAACATGGAATGAACTCGACTACTACAGAAGGCATTTGTTTTAAATATGCACACATCTCCCTTGGCGGTGCTGAGGGGGGGCAGTGTTGGGGCCAGAGCCCTGCCATCTGCATCTTGTTCTGCTCTGAAAGCTGATGAAGTGCTCTAGATGCCCTGGATAATTTTTCGAATGAAAAAAAATTATTTTATATTGGCTTCAGGGACCTGCTAAGGGATGGTCAGGTGCCTCTGCTTGGTATGTGAACGCTCTCAGCTATTCCCTTCTTTTTAGAAAGGCCACATGTTCTCCAACATGGTCCCCACAGTTGATCTTCTTGGAGCCCCAAGACTGTTTCAAGCAGATAGGCTCTTCTACCTGGAGTAAGTAGCCAGCGTACAGTCCTTCTGAGCTTGGAGCTCTCCGGTGTACCATGGCTCCACTTAGAATCCACCACCTCTGGTATCATCCTGGTACCACTCTGGTGTATCACTTAGGATCTATCAGTTTCCATGGTCAATGGAAACTAATTTGGAAGCTTGCATTTGGGTCTTTCCCAGGATAGATAACTCCGCTGCCTGGACCCAAGGCCAGAGTCAAGAGCCTGAAGAAAGGATGCCACAGAGTACCGAGCTATTCAGTCAGGCCATGTGGGATGCTACACGGGTTGTATGCACACTTGGCTTAGGATATCTTCCTACCAGACCTGGAAGGAGTCCTATTAAGCACCACAGGCTTGCTGTCTCCCTTCTCCTTGAGAATTTCTGCTCCCTCATTCTATTCTGATCAGCCATCCTTGGCTTTCAGCCTCTAGCCTCTCCCTTTCCTTCCAGGCTCTTCATTCTATGGTGTCACTGGGACTTTACAGAGCAAGTTCTTTGCCACTCTCGGTCCTTGCATGTGCCCAGGCCTGTGTGTTCCCGCTTGCGCCATCATGCCAAGTGCATCTTTCGTTCTCATGACTTTCAGTGGACATCTCTACCCAGCTCATGGAGACTCAGCCTACCTGAAGCTCTTGGATCTATTCACCCACATTTGCCATGGTCACACTCAAGCTGCAGGGCTCTGCCTAACCCCTCTCCTCTATCCTTTACCCTCATGCCTATAGAATCTGGGCCTGAAAATAACATCATTCACACTGTGCTGGTCAGTTTTATGTCAATTCGACACAAGCTAGAGTCATTCGGGAAGAGGGAACTTAACTGAGAAAATGCTCCCACCAGATTGGCCTGTGGTGGCATTTTCTTGATTAATAATTGATGCGTGAGGGTTCAGCTGACTGTGGATGGTGCCACCCTGAAGCATGTGGTCCTGGTGCTATAAGAAAAGAGGCTGAGCAAGCCATGAAGAGCAGGCCAGGAGTCAGCACTTCTCTCCGGCCTCTGCAGCAGTTCCTATCTTGAGTTCCTGCCCTAAATCCCCTGGATAATGGACTACAGCTGTAAGACGCATTGAACCCTCTGCTGCCCAAGTTGCTTTGGTCACGGTGTTTCATCCCAGCAATGGAAACTTCAACCAAGTCGATACCGTTGTTTAGTTCGGATCAAATGCAGGACTCTTGTTCCTCCTGTTTCCAAATCCACTCCATCAAGTCATTGGTCCCAGCTGCTATCTGTCCAAAACATTCTCAGATGAACACATTCATCTAGCGATACTTCCTTTACCTCTCCTCAGTTTGGCTCTAGACATGTTTCTTGCTTCCATTCCGGCCTCCCTAGACTCAAAGAAACCATCTTTCTAATGGAGGGCGGAGCATACACCAGCAAAGAGACCCAGGAGGCTGACACCTGGTAGAACCACACAGGCATCTTGGAGTGGCCAGAGAACAGGGTCACAGGGGGAGTGATAGAGATGAAGTTGGAGGGGCAGGCAGAGGCTGAAAAGGTCTCTCTAAACACCATGGAGAGATGGCCCTAAGGGCACAAGGAGCTGAAGGAAGGTTAACAACAAGGTAGCCTCCCTAGGTGTTCAGTGCTGGAAGTGAGCCGAC